AGTGGATAGGTTTTGAAGACTCCTCCAATCTTGGTGCTCAGAATTTTTGTATAATGTATATGTTGCATCCAAACCACCAAATAATAATTGATAATTAGGGTCGGTTGTTAATAAAAAATTAAACTAAATAATCATGCTAAAATACGATAAAGAAATACTAATTCATACCAGCTAGCTAGGTTTTTTTTTTTTTTTTTAAACAACATAGCACACACATTCTAATGTATATCGGTTAAATTGAGGGGAACATCTTACTATACCACTAGGCCAAATGCATATTGGTTAAATTGAGTTTCATTAACATGATATTAGTACTAGAACACCATGATAAAGCTCGGAGTATAAACACTTTATTGATCTGGGTCAAGAACTCTAATTGGAACCCTAAATGGTTAAAGTATGTTGCAATTAGCACATAAAATTGACAATATGAGTTGGATTATTCAAAGATATTACAATGTAATTTTGATTATTAGATTGGGTTCATGAATATTGAAGTATTAGTATAACCTATGGATTAGAAGATCACTAAAGTACTTCATAATTGGTAAAACTCTGTCGATTTGAGGGAAAATGATTTATAAACCCAATAAAGCTTCCAAACCGTTCAAAAAAAACTCCAATTATGTTTTGTTTGTTAACATTTTGTCTAAAAAATGTCAACTAACTTACATTTTTGTTCAGTTCTCATTAGGGTCAACCGGCTATTGAAAGTCAACGAATGACATGGCTAATGACGTGAAATTAAATATCGGGAAAATGACTTGTAAGACCAATGAAGTTTCAAAACCGTTCAAAAAACTCTAATCATGTTTTGTATGTTCAAAAAAACCCAACGAACTTAACCTTTTGTCAAAAAAACCCCAACGGACTTATGCTTTTTTCGATTCTCATTAGAGGCAACCAGATTCATTAGGTATACAATTAGTTGGAAAATGACATGACATTATATTTAATGACATGAAATAAACAAATTAGAATTGCCCTTTATATATCATTTAGGGCTTTGAGAAGAGAAAAACAAATGACGTCTATGTTCGGTCTCTTGTAATGGCTACTTATTCTTCTGCCTCTCAATTGTTAATGCCCAACTCAAGATATACAAAGAAGATATTTGATGATGCAAACCCTTGTGGACGTGGACGCCCTTCTCGGATTTGGACTTTTAGAACGGAGGATCATCCAGACAAAAAAGTCCAGGGCTTGTTCGAACAGATGGGTAAGTGTAATTGAAAACTTTATCATGTCTATCTTCTATCTATTTGGTTGATTATCTTAATAAGTTCTTAATAAAGCTTTCAATTACACTTATCATATCTATCTTCTATATATCTGTTTGGTTCCTTCAAAAACAAGAACTTATTAAGATAATCAATCAAATAGTAGAAGATAGACATGATAAAAGCTTTCAATTACACTTACCCATCTGTTCGAACAAGCCCTAAACTTTTTCTCTAGATGATCCTCCATTCTAGATGTCGAAATACGAGAAAGGCGTCCACATCCACAAGGGTTTGCATCATCAAATATCTTATTTGTAGATCTTGAGTTGGACATCAATGATTCGGAGGAAGAAGAAGCAGTAGCCATTACAAGAGATCGAACGCAGACTTCGTTTGTTTTTCTCTTCTCCAAGCCCTAGATCGATATATAAAGGGCAATTCTAATCTGTTTATTTCATGTCATCAAATATAATGTCATGTCATTTTCCAACTAATTATATACCTAATTAATATGGTTGCCTCTAATGAGAATCGAACAAAAGCGTAAGTTCGTTGGGGTTTTTTGGACAAAATGTTAAGTTAGTTGGGTTTTTTTGAACATACAAAACATGATTGGGGTTTTTTGAACGGTTTCGAAACTTTGTTGGTCTTACAAGTCATTTTCCCAATATTTAATTCCACGTCATAAGCCATGTCATTCGTTGACTTTCAATAGTCGGCTGACCCTAATGAGAGTTGAACAAAAGTGCAAGTTAGTTGGGTTTTTTTAGACAAAAAGTTAAGTTCGTTGGGTTTTCTTGAACAGACAAAACATAATTTGGGTTTTTTGAACGGTTTTGAAACTTCTTTGGGTTTATAAGTCATTTTCCCAATGTTTTCATTAGAAGGATTAGTGTTATGGAAAAAGGGATACATGATGGATTTGTTAAAGTTTTGGTTGTTGGGAATTTGATGTAATCTAAAAGCTTTAAATAAAACAAGTATTACAATGGAAATAATATTTTAAAAGTTTTAATCTCATAGGTATGGATCCAGTCAGAAAAAGATTATTAATTGTACGATGTTTAGAATGCTTACCATTGTAGGATATTACAAGCAATCTCTTATTTATTTAAGTTGACAAATAATGAAATTTTATCAAATTAATATTTATTATTTACTACGTATCTTTTATGAGTTTTAGTAAGCACATAAAACAGGGGAAATTAAGTAATATTAACCACTTTTTAATGTATATTTGAACAAAATTGTAACGTCTCAAATTCTAGAATATATATATTTTTCATTTTTAAAAGAGAATAAACATCCGTTTTGACAAAGTTACGTTCAAGTCAAACCATCTGTTCATAAATCATAATTCAAAATCAGATTTATAAGGAAACATTACGGAATCTCGATTCATTAAACGGTTGATGTGCGTGTGTACAGTCTCGCATTTGACATTCGATAAGTACCTGAAAAACATTTAATTCACAACTGTAAGCCGAACCTTAGTGAGTTTACCAAAATACTTCACACAACAATACACATACAATGCAAGCACACATGAGCCTTTAGTTTGTCTGGACTGCCACGCAAGGCCTACAGGATGCCTGGAATGCTCTCATGAGTCTACAATCTGACTGGACCGTCTCTCAAGGCCTACAGTACAACTGGACCGCTCCCTTGGGTCAACTGTCTGACTGGACCGCCTCGCAAGGTCTGCAGTACACATGGACCGCCCGGGTATTTTAGCCTACAACACAAAGCAGGATCGCCTCAACCCAACCACAATATGTCGACATATGAAAACAAATAAACAATAACTAGCAAACATAGGTAATCATACATATCTACCAATCTAACATATCACTACAACATACCAACGTCCTACACACGGAATCAAAACTCAACCAAACTTTAGATCTAGCACACCAAACCTCAAAGGGACGCCAATGATCCATAAAGTTGTCAAGTTTATGGAATCCTATAACTCAAACTACCCTAAACATGAAGAACACAACATAGAAGCCTATATATAGAAACATGTCACATAAATGATGGAATTTGAGAACTTACAATCGTCCATAATATGTGCTCCAAGGTGGTGAAGGAACTTGCTTGTTGGATCTATTCACCAAGAACACCTTTTTATTCTCCAAGTCATACAAACAACACCAAAAGCTCACAAATGGATAAAAGATGAGAGGGGAGGATCAAAGTCATAAAAAAGAGGCTATGGTTTCTCTCAAGATGCTTTAGCTATGATGGATGATAGAAAAATACCCTAAAAAGACGGAACCACCCCTTAAATACATAGAAACCCGTAAAAATTCATGGGCTTGGGATGCACAGTGGCCACCTTGTGGCAACCTGCCTGTCACCTCATGGTGACTCACCATGTCGTGCGGACAAGTTTTCACCTAATTCAATTCCAGCTTTAAACAGTCATAATGTATTTGTTTCAACTCCACTTCTGGCAATCTTTATATGCAAGTGAAGGTTTTGACAAGCCTCACAACCCTATCTAATTCTTTTGACTTAATACATGTCGAACTAAAACCATAATTCATGTAAGAAGCCCAAAATATTATTTTTCTCATTTTACCCTTTTGCTTCAAAGCACAATTCGAGAGCTTTAATCACTTAACCAACATTATCAATATCTGATAAGGTCTAAACTCTATTCTTTTGAATCCCAAGACCTTTACTTGATCCATTTACGACCCACTATCCCAAAATTAGAAACATCCCCAAACTAGGTGTTACAAAAATAACCAATTATTTTTAGCAAAAATAATCACTTGGTCTGAAATAGACGTTCAGGACAAAGAAAAAACAATTTTTAACTGATTCCGAAACGATATTTCGGATTCCGGACTAAAATTTTGGATTTCGAAATTCCAAAAAAATAAATTTTTTTATTGAAAAACAGTGACATATAACATTTCGAAATGTAGCATTCGGAATCCTAAAAATATATTTGAAAAAAAACTTTGGAATATGAACAGTATTCCGAAATGAGGTCATTCCGGAGAAATTAGTTATCTTTCAAAAACTGAAAAAAGATGGTTATTTTCTTTGAAGACCCAATTTATCAATTTTTTAATTTTTCACATTGCATTTTTCACATTAGAAGCATCATAATACATGCCTTATGATAAAGATAATATCCAAGATAATTACTATTAAATGTATAGAAATCAATATAGATCTATGTATGTAATTTTGTTTCTAAACAATAGTTATGGACTAATTGAGTAGGATTGAAGGAAGATATGTGAGAAGGATAAAGACAACAACAAAAGCATAAGTTAGTTAAAATAGCTTCCCAAAATGACTACATATGGAACTTTTAGCTTGTGTTAATGTCATAAATGTCAGGATCTTATAACAAATGCTTTTACTATGAATTAAAATGTATATCAAGGATAAATTCATATGAATTGATATGTTCCTCACCTTGTTTCTTTATTGGGATATCTCCAATAAAGTCCTATTATTTTGTCTATATTTATGAAAAAACCTTAAACTAAAAATGCTAACAAAAAAGCATGAGATAGTGGATAAAACGACGAATTGGCCCATTTTAGTCGGTAACCATTCTTGCAACCGGTAACAAATCTATGTGGCATTAAATGAGCTTATGTGGGCAAGTGACTCAAGACCCACCTTATTTAAGACATTGAAATGGTAAGAAAAGGACCTAACACAAATTTGCCCTCTTTAGAAACTAGGGTTTACCTCTAAAGGAGACGACAACACAAACGACACAAGTTCAAGTGCGGGTCCCTGTAAATGGCAGACTTTTGGGATTTTGACACTATTGATGTTGAAATAGATAAGGATTTTAAGAAAAAGCAAACTAGTAGATGCGCTGACGTGTTTTTCATGTGTCCCAATGAGGCTGGTGAAGAAGGTGATGACTTCATAAACCCTAAAATTGAACATATTGAAGACTATGTTGAGCTAAATGAAGATGATGTTGTGGAGGAAGAAGATCATTTTAACATAAATCGAGAAGGGAGTGGGTCTGATGAAGTAACTAGGACTGATGAAGAAGTATTAAGTGAAATTGACCAATATTATGAGGTTGAGTTTGATTACAACACTCACGATCTAAAGGTTAAATGGAACAAGATGAAACCAATTCTTGGACAGATGTATGAATCACCTTATCAACTTAAGTTGTGTTTAACCAACCACGCTATTTATACTGGTTATAAGATAAAGCTCAAGAAATACGGTAGTCTTAGGATCGTTGCTGCATGTGCTAGTGATCCAAAAAAATCATTGTCCTTTTACTATTAGGGCTTCTTGGATGAACACAAAACACGCGTTTCAAATTAAGAAACTTTTTTACTAACATAGGTATGTTAGGAGTTACAGTAATGCCAACCTTATGGGTCCAACATGGTTAGGAAACCAATTTCTAAAAGAACCGATTAAGATGCCTAAGTTGAAGTGTAAGGAAATGAAGACACTTATCCAAAGTAGATTCCATTGCAATGTGTCTTGGTCAAAGTGTTATAGAAAAAAGTGCAGGGCCATGTATTTGATAGAAAGGAAATTGAGTGACTACTATGCTAAAGTATGAGATTATGGTGGTGAGTTGTTAAGATCAAATACATGTAGTACAATTAAAATTTATGTTGGTCAAAACCTTGATAACACGACTATTTTCCAAAGAATGTATATATGTTTTAAAGCAATAAAAGATGGATGGAATCTTGGTTGTCGTAGGGTTATTGGATTGGATGGTTCTTTTTTAAAGAGTCAATGTAAGGGAGAATTGTTAACTGCTATAGGGAGGGATGCAAATAATCAAGTGTATCCCATATGTTGGGTTGTGGTTAACATAGAGAACAAGCCAAATTATAAATGATTCTTGGATTTGGTAGCACGGTATTTAGACTTGGATGGTGGAAGGGTATGAAATTAATTTCTGATCAACACAAGGTACTTCATATATATACTTTATTATTTATTTACAATTATATATAAGATACTTCATTAATACTTTACTAATATAATTGTTTTTGTTATGAAAAGGGGCTTCTTGAGGCTACAAAGGAAATCCTACCACTTGTATAGCACAAACAATGTGCCATGCATGTATATATATATATATATATATATATATATATATATATATATATATATATATATATGCATGCCAATTTTAGAAAGGTCTACTTTGGTGTGGAATTCAAGAATACGTTTAGGGATGCTGTAAAGTCAACTATTGAAGGGGAATTCAAGATGAATATGCAAACGATTTGGGATATTAGCCCATCTGGTTATGGACATCTAATGGAAAGGGATCCTAGTTCATGGTGCAGGGCCTTCTTTGGTGGAGGATTAGCATGTGATGTAGTTGAAAATGGAATGGTTGAATGTTTCAAGGCAGTCATTATGAATGCTAGAAAGAAGCCCCCATTGACCATGATTGAGGAAAATAGACTTTACATGATGCAAAGATTTTACAACTTAAAGGGGGAAGGACAACAATGGGATACTCAAGTATATCCAACAACAATTAAGAAGATGGATGAATTTGGTGATGGTTTAAAGTAAGTACTCTTACCTACTTTACATGATGTAAATTTATCTTTTATATGCTAATGTACTTTAAATTACAGGGGCTGGTATGTCCATCCTAGTGGTGCCAGTGCTTTTGAAGTGAAGAATGATTTTCACTCTTATGGATTTGACTTAAGAGGGATGGTATGTACATTTAACTTGTGGGAGTTATCAGGGATATCATGTGTACATGCCTAAGGTGGTGTTTGTTTTTTGTCCGTAGATCTTCTTGGGCTCTTCTGTTTGCACCGCGCAGACCACGCGCAAACATTAGCCTTCACAGACTGTTTGTTTTTTGAAGACTGCAGACCTAAAAGTTTATGTGCGCCCTTTCTTGGCGCAGATGTGGACCAGAGTCTTCTAACATCTTCAAATATCTTTTAGCCTAAAAAACACATATATCTTTATATATTTTTTTAGTTTTTTTGAATTTATATTTATTCCAACTTTCTTAATGATAAACAATTTGAAAAAAAAAAAATTACAATACTTAAAAAAAACGTTCGACGACACAAACATGATATTTTTGACAAATTTATAAATAAAAATTTATTACAATAATGGTCGTTGAAGTTGTTTATATAAATATGAAAAAAAAAATTCATAATATATTCTTATATTTTTTGTGCCAAATTTTATAAACATTATTTAATACAGTATCGTCAATTTCTTGGAAAATATTTATGACACGTTTTTAATTGATTTAGTTGAAAAAATTGAAGTTATTTCCATTCATTTATGTATCAAATTATTTCAATCCTAATTATAATGTTTAGGTATAACTTTGCGACCAAAAATTTTGGTTTTTATAAAATATATACGTTAATTTGTACAATTTTTATTTTCACTTTTTATACAATAATACATAAAAGTTTATCTAGATTTGTTAATTATTCATAACAAAGTCATAAAAATATTAAAAAATCACTTTGTAGTTTAAAAAAACCAGATTATTTAGATTTTAGTTTATTTTAGTAACCTGCAGATGTTAAAAAAACAAACAATCTTCTTTTTTCAGACTATAGACGTTTGGTCCACCTATTCTGCTGCAGAGGTCTACAGATGTGGTCCGCAGACTGCAGCCGTATTGCCTCAGAAAAAACGAACAACACCTAAGCCTCCATTCTGTATACACAACAAGATCTTGTGAATTTCATCAACTCTTGGTTTGATAAGGAGAAATACTTATTGACTTATGCTTTTAACATACTACCGGTTAGTAGACGCAATTTGTGGATGGAATATCCTTATACAAATCCACTCTCACCCATTGAAAGAAGGATGTCAGGAAGGCCATGCATCAAGAGAAAGAGGCATATTTCTGAACATGAGGACAAGTTTTCACAAGTATCTTCTAACGGCAGAACTGTCCAATGTAAAAACTGACTGTAAAAGGCTCACAATGAGAAATATTAAAAAATTCCAAGGTGATCCTTGATCCAAACCTCGAGAAAAATAGGAAGACCTACGTTAGATGTTGATCTTACACATTAGAGAAGTGGTGGAAGGTGATGAAGAAGGGGGCCAACAGGTGGTAGAGGAGATGGAGGTTGTTCTAGAACAAGTGGTAGAGGTGAGATAGGGGGAAGTTCAAAAGGCCTAGCAGGTGGTAGAGTTGAGTTTAACTTTGAGACTACACCAGATGAAGGGGATGGCATGTATATATCAGATATGGATTTAGCTGTAAGCTCCATTAAAAAAAATTGAGGGCATCAAAGTATAGTGATGTTGAGGTAATGGCTTGTCTTGGGATTAATGAATCTCAACTGAAGGTGTTTGGATCTGTCAACCCAATGGTAGGTGTTTACTTTTTAAGGTGTTTCAATTAATTCACTTTGTCTAAATTATTTGTTCTTTATTCAGGAAACCAATGTTCAATAAGAAACCCAGTCAGTACCAGAGACTCTAGAAGATGGCCTTGTAGATACTCAGTCTCAACATGAGCAGAGTGAAGATGAGGAGGAGGGTATTGATGATACCCATGAAGTCATGAGGAAGGACACCCAAGAACTCAGGAGGAGGACCAACCAAGGAATCAGGAGGATGGAGCCATCAGAGAGGATCATTGATTTGAAGTTAAAGAAGTAGGTGGTGGACAATTTTGGTATGGGTGCAGACAATGCACTTAGTTTATAATAGGGTAATTAAGTCATGAATGCATTTTTTTGTAATTAAATCATTGTGTTGGATTTTGTTTATAACTCTTTGGGTAATTAAGTCACGAATGCCCCTTTTGTATATTTTTTGGAAAGTCAAACACTATGGCTTAGTAATTGTAACAAACAATGGTAGTTTGGTATTATGAATGTAACTTATGGTTTGGTATATTTTGGAGGGATCCCTACTTTGGAATGTTTGTTTGTATTGTATTGTGAATGCGGTTTGTATTATGAATACACCATACTACTTGTAATCAAACCATACTACTTGCCAGCATATACCTTTGAAACAAACCAAATTCATAGATTTGATATACTATTACATTGAAAAATAAACAGTGAATCCATACATTTCATAAAACATAATTTAAAAATCCTAAAATTACATAACCATAACCCAAACAATTACAATCAAACCAACAGAACACCAAGCCTTCTAACCCCTAACCATAATTCCACCTCCACTTTGCACTACTTATGCCACAACTTCTTCAAATTCATCAGCATTCACTTGAAATCCTTGGTTGTGAAAATCCAAGATCATGTCTTCGTACCACTGGTTTGGTAATGGAGGATCCACCCAGTCAAAGAATTTTGCAATCCTTCTCTTTATCCTGCATTAGACGACATTTTGAACATTGTGACTTATATTGTGTTTAATTTCAAATAATTGAAGATACTCACCTTGAAATTGGAGAAACCAATAAATCGCCTTCCAGGGTTTTCCAGTTACCATGAAGTCCACCTGCCAACTGGATCATCATAGTTGCACCTACTTTGACCTTGCTTGGATGACCGATTAGCACTACTATTGGAGACGGAGGAGGATGCCATCTTCGACCTTTCTTAGATTATCAATTTAGGGGTTGACTTTGTTTCTTACCGTTTCAATGAATTAAATAAAGTGAGGTGTTAAGTCATCTACCACATAACCTCATTTAATGCTACATAGGTTTGTTACCGGTTACAAGAGTGGTTACAGACTAAAATGGGCCAATTCGTCGTTTTATCCGGTATCCCATGCTTTTTTGTTAACATATTTTAGTTTAGGGTTTTTTCATAAATAAGGCCAAAATAATAGGACTTTATTGGAGATATCCCTTTCTTTATTATAAAAACTTACAAGACTCATGGCATAACATCTTATCATTTTGTTTTTTTTATTATTATAAGAACTTACATGACTCATGTAACATCTTGCATGTTAAATGATTGCATTTGGAAAGTGTGTTTGTAGTATTTTCATGTATACATGTGAATGCCATTTGGTTTGGTCATATATTTAGACACCCATATCAATGAGGGACACCCAGACAATAAAAAGTAGGCCCTAAAATTTCTAACATGCATATTAAAAGTTGTGGACTTTTGAAGGTGACTTCCTTTGGGTGCTTGTTATTCTTTCATTTTTTCCAGAAAATTCATGTATGTTCTTCTATGTTCCATAATTATTTTTACTTCTCATTTTATAATTTATGAATCTTAACTAAAGACGTTATTAGCCATTTTATACTATGTTTGGTAGAACCGTATAAGTAACATCAATTTGAAAGGTGGGTGACTTATTTTAACATTTCTATAATTAGATAGCCTATTTAAAAAATTTAAGAAAATTATACATTATTTTTCACTTGTCTCGTGTTATTTTTTGTCATTGTGGATTGTAGACTGTTTCCTGGTGTTTCTTTTCATCATCGTATCCTTGTCGTTAGAGATGACAAAATTGATGTATCACATGAATTGAATAACATGGCAATAATAACAAGGTTTTAGTACATTTAAAACAATTGTTTAGGTTGGACCAACGCGAAAAATATTTCTATGTTTATATTTTTCAAAATTTAAAAATATTTGATACATCAAATATGAGTATAATACACTACTATTGTAAGACCAAGTTTCAGGTATATACTTCTTTTATTGTTTGGCTTTTCAAACTCAAGATGGATTTTGTTGGTTAGGACGTGGCAGTTTTAGTGCCACGACGTGGAGGTGGCCGATGAAAACGTGCGTCTCATTAGGTGTCACGACAAAACAACATATTGGTCACGACGTGACTGCCTCCTACATGCAAAACACTAATTTTGGAGTTTGTGCCCATATTTAAGGGAAGTGAGGGCTAGAGTTTGCACACCCTTAGCCTCCATCACCTCCCTTTCACGTCAAGGAAACCATAGTCTCAATTTTGTCATTTAAGAGCTTTTGGTGGTGTTTTTGGTGTTTTCAAGAAGAAGAAGAATGAGCTCTTGATGTATATATCTAGAAACCAAACCTCTTCACCTCATCCTTGCTCATATTCTAGACTTTTTTAAGTCCTCAAGTTCCCAGCTTTGTGTTTAGTGATTCTATATTTATGCTTCTTGTCCCTTTTGTTCATGATTGTGAGATTTTTAATGGTTAGGTTCCATAAAGTTGGCAACTTTATGGATCTTGGGGTCCTTTTGGAGTTATATGTTCCAAACCTAGAGTTTTATGGTGTTTTTGGTCTCATGCATAAGTTTGACTTCATTTCTTCCATGTTTTCGGCTTAGATAGGAAGAGACATGCACTGGACATGCTTGTCCATAAAGCATTGATTTTTATGATGCATTAGGAGTAGGAAATCCTTCTCAAAAGTATGGATGTGTGGCCTTAGTGATTAAGTACTTAATATATTAAGAGGACAAAATAGTTCTCATGACGTGAAGGATTAGCCTCCACGACATGACGAAGGCAGTCCTCGCGGATGTTTTGTCTTGGGGCCACCACGATGTGGTGGAAGTTTGGCCACGACGTGGCAGCCGGTTGTAAGACTTTTGACTGTTGACTGTTGACTGTTGACTGTTGGCGGAAGTTACCACACTGTTATTTGATATGATGTTTTCCGATAGAACAACATGCTAGTGGTAGGGTACGTATCTTTAGGAATTGCATGATAGAATTGTCTGATGTATGATGCCTTATTACTAGAGAATTTTTTGCTTATTGATTGAAGGACTCTTTCGGGTGTGAATTAACTACTAATTGAATACGTTAAGTCACATGCTACATAGGTTAAATAATTTTAGAGTGAAGGATTTGGTCCTATTGCACAACTCTTTTCTGAGTCCAACTGTTGTAGGGTTGAATCTTTTAATCAACAGTTGTATGGTTGAATCTTTTCTGAGTCCAACTGTTGTAGGGTTGAAGGATTTGGTCCTATTGTATGTGATTGCATTCATGAAGTTGTTAACTGGCACCAATGGGGGTAGTTCGACAATTAATGACAGGGTGAGGTGTGGACCCTAGGATAGCCTAGGGAGTATGTAGTGCTTATGATGTGCTTTTTAGCAAGTGTTGGGAGTATCATCACGAGTCACTATGGATGTAGCAGGCCAGATTTGGAATGATTAGTCACTCTCGAGAGAGTGAGGATAAGATGTATGTGTATCCTAGTTTTTGTATTCGTTTGGGGTGGTTGTGATGATCCTTGAGACAAATACAGGTAGGTGTGGAAGGTAGTATGGGCCCGTACTACTGAAAGCATATGACTCATACACGTAGCAAGGAAGTCACAAACCCGAGGGGTAATCTCGTCATGTGGTTGTAGCAATGTGTATTGTGGCATCCCTGATGCATTTTTTGGTTCGTTTTTAGTATGGAGTTCACAAAGGGATCTGGTTCAGGATCTGGAGTTGATGGTTAGGATAGGTCGGGGTTGACTGTTGATCAGATACGGGAGATGATTACCGTTGAGGTTTCACAGATATTGCAGGAAGAACTGTCTGGTATCGTGGATTGGATCGTTGGCAGGCTAATTGCCAAGTCCGAGAAGCGAACTGCAGCTTTGCAAAATCTAAGAGGGACTGCTGAGATGATTACTGGGCGAGATCATGATGCAGGGACACGACTTGGAAAGAGAAGGAGGGATCATTCAACGATGGACGAAGAGTTCGAGGCTACTAACATGGGTACTGGAAGTCAAGTGAGCTATGATATCTGCAGGAAGTGTGGGGGAACCCACATTTTTGCTTGTCACAAGTTCAAATGTTATAAGTGTGGACAAAGAGGACATGTCTTTCGCGAATGCAAAAAGGACCGAATGTGTTTCCACTGTCACCAGTCGGATCATCTCAAACCCGACTGTCCTACATGGGTAGCAGAGGGAGTGCAAGCCCAGGTGTCCACCGTCCGACAGAAGGTCAAGGTTGAAACGCAAGAAATCACAGGTGTAACATCCCAAAACTCACGACCAAAAAATTCATTTTTAATATAATAATTATAAAACCATTTGTCTGAAAACAACCATAGTATCAACTCATATCAAAACCAAAGTATCAGTAGTCAAAACATGTCATGATAAAACAATATCAGAGTATCACTCCCAGAGATCTCGTGTGCAGAAAATGTAGTGTGATGCGTTGCGATTATGCCGACTCCTTTCCCTTCGAAGAGGAAGTACCTGAAATCAAAACTAAAAACCGTAAGCATAAAGCTTAGTGAGTTCCCCCATCATACCACATACCATACAATAACATAATGCCTAGCATATCTGGGTGTTGGCCTACCCCTTCGGTCTCTTTCAACTGGTAACTGCCTAGCATATCAGGGTGCTGGCCTACCCCTTCGGTCTCTTTCAACCGGTAACTGTCTAGCATATCAGGGTGTTGGCCTACCCCTTCGGTCCTTTCGACCGGTAACGGGGACTATTTCACCCCTATTACCACCATATATATCCTCCTAGTACGTAAACACATAAGTCACATACTGTCTAGCATATATGGGTGCTGACCTACCCCTTCGGTCCTTTCGACCAGTAACGGGGTCTATCCCACCCCTCCTACCACTATCACATAATATCATAGCATACTAGCACAAAAAGCATAACAGATAGTGGCATACCAGACAATTATCACAAAGACAATCATCGCTACTATAATCAACTACTAGTGGGCCAACATTGGTGCCTTC